GATGATGACATCACTGAATTCAATGAAGAACTGCCTTTAACTGAACATTTAGTGTTTACTATTATCATTTCGCATTTTTTAAAACACAATTTCCCTAATGAATGCTGTACAGTTGCTTTGACACAATCTGTATTGTTAAAAGCGCTATATAAATAAAGGTGACTTGACTTGACTTGCTCAGATGAGTCCACAATGGACGTCGAGTTCTCAGAGCCAAAGATCAAAGGGAGCATCCAGACTTTCACCAGCGACAGACGCAGAAGCAAACATCTGTCATGGCATATGGGTTTATCAGAGCAAACGGCATGAGTGACTGGCATATGTGTGAAGGTACCATTGACATGGAGGCATATACTGAAATTGTCCAGAGACATATACTGCCATCAAGATGACGTCTTTCATGGGAAGTCCATGGTTATTAGATCAAGACAATGTCAGGTCTCGTTCTACATGTGCTACAACAGCGTGGTTTCATAGACACAGATTGAATGTGCTAGATCAGTCCAGATCCGTCTCTTATTGAACATGTGTCAGTCATGAAAAGGAGAATCAGACAACAACAATCACAAACTGCTGAGCAGCTGAAGTCTTCTATCAAGTGAGATTGGACAAAAAATTTTGCATGCAAAACTTTAACAATTACTATCCTCAATTCCCAAACAATTAAACATTGTAATTAAAAGGAAAGTTGATGTGACAGTATTAAACACGCCTCTGTCCCAACTGTTTTGATGTGTGTTGCAGCCATCAAAATCAAAATGTGTTTATATTTACAAAATAAAATTGTTGGCCAGTGATAACAAAGGAATTTTTCTCTTTGTACTTTAGTCAATTATATAAAGGTTAAAGAGAATGAAAAAAATCACAGGTTCTTGATTTTATAGCATTTCACAAAACGTTGGGGTTGTACAACCCTCAGATGTAGCTAATGGGATGTGAACATTTGATTTAGTCATATTGTTTCCAAATGCACAGCTAGGTCACACACACACACACACACACACACTCACTCTCACACTCTCACACTCTCACACTCTCACACTCTCACACTCTCACACTCACCCTCGCTTTTCCAGCAGGCCCTGTAGAGGAAACATGTTCTGTGGATTCCAGTCTGGGTCGACATGCAGCCAGCGCCTCCGTCCCGCAGCAGATGACACGTCCAGCACCGCGTGTGCAGAGAGAGGAGAACTACACATACACACACACACACACACACACACACACACACACACACACACACACACAGGACTCGCCGTCATTTGAACGAATGACTGTTAAATATTGTTTGTACAGGAGAGACTGGCAGGCAGAATTTCCCTCATAACTCACTGCAAATCACAGCATCATTAATATATTTAGACGGAGAAAGATCTTTAAGACTTGTAATACATTAGATCAGGGTTCTGCAGTGTTTTTCTGGAGAGTGCAAAAAACTCATGAAAACTAAAGTAACAGATAGCCACTTACTGATGTACTGCATGTTAAGAATACAGTGCAAATGTGGCACATGTGAGCGGTGCTTTAGCATCTGATCTCCGGCATTGAGTGTTTTTGGTGTGTGTGTGTGTGTGTGTGTGTGTGAGTGAGTGAGTGAGTGA